AATTTACTTAAACTGAATATCTCTAAAACTAAGTATGTAACGTTTTCTCCAACCAAAGCAGGCATGCCATTACACCACCGAATATTAATTATAAATGATAGTGCTGACACTGTCGAAAGAGTTGAAGTTATTAGATACTTAGGAATCATTGTTGACAGTAATTTAAAATGGCAGAGTCATGCCGAGCTTTTGGCATCGAAATTAAGGAGAATTATTCATAAGTTTTTCATTCTTAGGAATATTTTAAGCAGAAAGAGTCTTCTCTCAATATATAACTCGTTTGTGGGGTCTCTACTAACTTACGGGATAAGTATTTGGGGAGCCGCATACACTAGTACTTTAAAAATACTACAAACCACGCAAAATTATATTGTCAGGACTATTTTTCGTATCCCATGTAGGTCAAGTTGCAGATTTGTTTACGTTGAAAATGATCTTTTGAATGTTAGAGGTTTATATATTTTTGCTGCTCTAAAATTTGTTCACTCCCGAAACAATGTTCCAACCAGCCACGCTTATGAAACAAGAACTAAAATAAATATAAGTTACACCTATACCAGAGTGAATAGATCTGTTTGCCAAAAATGCATAATGTTTGATGGTATTAGGTTGTATAATAAATTACCCCTAGAATATAAAATCCTCTCGAAGTATAGTTTCAAAAAAAGAATTAAGAAGTTCATCTTAAATAACTTTGACATGCTTGCATCGACGGTAGCTTGACTCAGCTCAGTAATTTCGTTTCTATCTAATGTTTTTTTTTTATTTATTTTTTTTATATACATTTGCTCATAATATACCTTATGACCATTAGCCATGCATTGAATTTGTGTATTGTATGACACACACAAGCTTATAGCTTAGGTGTCTATTATTTTGTAGTAAATTCTTTTGTAGTAAATTGTAGTACTCTTGTTTCTCTGCTTAACCTCTACGCAAAATTTTTATTGTTTAAACAACATAGTTTGACCTTACTCGAAATATCCCTCTATTATCATATTTCAGATATTCATATTTTATGTAGGTACTCTATATTTATACTTTTGAGTGTTTTTTAGTATGCTTCTGTACTATTGTTATGAATTTTAGATTTGTTTATGCAGAAACGTAATTGAGGACTTGTGACGACAAGATCCAGACATTTACCCTTTACGAAAGTATACAGAATTTTCACAATTCATATACCGTTACTTGCTGGTTCTAGATCTGATGCTAGTATCTTTGCTCAGACTTCTGTTGCAATCTGGGTTATTCAGGGTAGCAAGAGCATACAAGTTCATGTATTTTTGAAGCTTTTTTCATTTAAATTGTACTGAAGGTTGTTTTTAATTTTAATTTGTAAGTTATATTGGTTTTTTGAATTTGAATAACTTTTTTGAATAAACTTTTTTTTTTTTGAATAAACTTGGAATTTCAATCCAACTGAACAGTGAGTACTTTTTCATTTATTTTTTTCGCTCACGTTTCACTACACATCAGCTTTATTATATCAATATATCTAAAGTACAAAAATAGGCGATCGAAATTGCACAGACCTCCTTCATCTTCTGCCCTCCAAATATACCGAATAGCAACGTCGCATTAGCGCCTAAGGTGGTTCAATAAGCATTTAGGTAGTCGCGAAATGATATGGACTATAGAAGGGTAGCGTCACTTCCATCGTTAAAACAGTTTTTGGGGAGGTGTCTGAAATTACATTGTGGTATCCGAAATCCTACATGCAGTTAAACTGTGGTGTCCGTGATATAGCAGGTATTCAGGAGGAAGGTAAACATCCAGGTAATGAAGGTCACCTGAAGGTAGTTGACCGCAGAACACTGTATTAATTTACGTGTCGCGAAACCAGCAGGAAGCAAGAAAATACGGTACAAATCTACGTCAATGAGTAATGGCAAACATTTCCAAAGTAGATTGTTCAAGTATATTGCCAGAAAATAGATGTCATGTTCCATTTCTTTATTTAATTCTATACTCTTCAGTCTACATTATCCATGTTCATTGAAAAATAAATGCATCTAAAAAGCAAAGTGATTGTTTTCATCTACACTGAAAAAGCTTTTAGGATGTAATCACACAGTTTGAAGAATCTGCTTTCTTTTCTGGTAAATTAGTTTAGCGCCCTTACAGTCATTTTCAAACTTGTGACCTAAGAATAATCCATTCCAACCTCTGTTAGAATCAGTATAGCAGTTACTTATATTGCACAATGTCAAGGAAACCCGAACGTCAGGTGAGTTATCGCCAGTGGGTGGAACGCTAAAGCAATCTATTTTTCAAGCCTATTTTCCAGAAAATGCTATTTATCATATATCGTTTAGACAGAAAACATAATAATGTGGATTACCCTGTATAAACACAATTACTCTATGACAAGCCAAACTACGAATTACTCCGTTGAAATCAACAAAATTGAAAGTAGGAAAGCCATTCAGATGACCAATCCGCCCGTAATCCATCTTCCCTTTATTTGGATATCTTGATAACTTCCAGGCAGTAAATCATAAAAAAGCATATTGTCTGACAATATTTTATGACTAAACAGGATAATTTCTTTGATTAATGCATTAATTTGTAAATTGAATCAAGAAGGACTTATTCATTTCTCATTTGATATTAGAAAGAAGCGCGAAACTCTTTGAGCTTGGCCCATTGACCCCACACTTCTTTTCCTGTTCTGGTATGGACACACCCCCCCCCCCCCCCCGGTTATGCAGTTTTCTATCTCCAAGACACCCCTCCCCTCCGAGACGGAATTTTCATGACCCTGGATCCTGAGTCTCCCCCAGATCTTTTTTTTTTGATAACACCACTGGTTGAGCAATAGCTCAACCTACAAGAAACAATTACTATCGCGAAATCAACCACAACAGTGGCTCCTACAAATCACTTTTATGAGCACATTTAAAATTTCTGTCATCCGACTAAACTAGGAAGTCACAGATGAATAAAATTAACAAATCATAACTGATCATAATTGTTTGTATTAGCACTGGGAAGATTTCTGGAAAAGCAAAAATTCTATATACTTGGATTTCTTTTTAAAGTGGCTGAACCTACCAGTATGTTTACAAAGTAAGGAGAATGTAGACCAGAATGCAGTTTTGTATAGACACAGAAAATGGGTAAACTAAATACTGGTGAAATATTCAACCTACCATACCAGCATTAATCAAACAACCTGCTTCTCCTTGAATATTGAAATTTGAAATAAATATTTTGCTTTTCAAAAGCCTGGAGATATATTACAAATAAAGATGTAGTATGCTTTGAAAATCACATCATATTGGGAATTTAATTAAGCCTGCACCTCATCAACATCAATAGCGCACCGCCACTGGAGACAACTCATCCAAGCCTTGCACCTCTATAGAATGCGGTTCCTTTGATCTATCATTGATTGCTCAGACATTACCTTCCAGTATCAGTAATGCTTTTTAGACTGTCTTCGGCGCGAATACAACGTTGCAATTCAGTCTTTTGGGAGGCCAGAAGATGAAAGAGGTACGTGCAACTTCGATGGCTTATTTTTGTACATTCAAACACTAGTGCTGTGATTCCGTGATATTGTTGCCGTGGAGTTGTGATCACGTCACGCTTTTATTTGAGATTCGGTAACAGCCGTGATACGTGATTTATAAGTATCAGTTACTAAATCACAGTTCGTGAAATATCTGCCACTACTAACCCAGTTATATGAGCATTTTGATACCGCACAAACAAAAACACTTAAAACGTAATATGATGTTCTTTGAAGTTCCTACATAAAATCTTAAAACGATTAATCACTCAGAATATTTTTTTAATTTATTTTCTCCAATTAACGAAGTCCGTATTGCGAAGCAGGGTCCAGAGAGTTCTGTTTGAGTTAAAAGAGGAACCGTGCTCAGTTTAAATTCAATTTAATGGTAGTTCTGAAAGAGGTGGGTAAATTTAGAGTAGATTGTGCTTGAAGCAGTTTTGAGTACCTTACGCAATCAGGTTTGGTACTCGGAAGTACCACATTTTTACCGGTCAGTGCACATATGTTTGTGAAATGAAAAGACCCCTGTAAGCAGGAAAAAAGGATATCAAGTAAACATTCAGTATCGAGAATTTTACGTTGATGTAGTCGAGATTTTATTATAAGCGTGTTGAATCCCTCAGTAGATTGTGATTTGATTGTTCACAAGTACTGCATAACTTCTGGCTAAAATAAAACCTCGGAAGTAGATATGCCAGGCGGGTTCTGGCCCAAAATTGCTACGTACAATCAATTTGTGACTCGCTTTAAGGCTATGTGCGACGAAACCTGGCAAGCTATCGATGCAGTTATAAGTAGCCTTTCATTAGAAGCTCGTGGCATATTTTCTTTCTACTGGATGGCCGATATAAAGAACGTAATGATTTATTGCTAATTAAATGTTTAAACGTCCTTCCTATATTCTCGTCACTAATAGTAGCTAAGGTGTTCAAAGAGTTTCCGACACCCCTGTTATATAAATACTGCTAAAACAAAAGAATAGTCAAGGCAAAAGTTGGAAGATGTTGAGAGAATAACCTAGCGATGACCTTGAAATTACCTAGATCATGAACTTTAAGGCCATTCAGAGATCATCACGGAAATTTCAAATGGAACTGTGTGCTTCTGACCCCACCGATGTGAAGAATGGACAAATTTACGTTTTCAGATTATCTGGATCGCGACTTCAAGGTGATCTGGAGGTCAACTAATCTCAAGGTAAGGGCACCATATAAACATAAAATTTCTGCCCTTTCCACCGGCGGGTCCGAATTACGGTTCCATTTTAAGTTTTCAATGCATTTACGAATACATAATTTTACGCAGATTCCATCGGCGCGATGAAAAACATCTCAAATCTTCAGTTTGACCTTTAAATGACATTCAGGCCGTCAACACGGTCACAATCAAGGATCATTGCCGAATATTTTTCGTTCTTTTCAAATGCTTTTGGAGGTAATTTTTGAAGTAATTGCCAAGATCAGCAATGGGTTGTTCTCACAAAGCCCATCTGTTTCTATCTTGAACATTATTTTTTGTTTGATCGGTGTTTTCGTAGATAGGTGAGGTCGGAAACAGTACAACGCCCTGTATAGAATTTTCAGGAAAATATGTAGCTCGTAGTATTGAGTTGAGTGAACTAAATGCATTTTCTAGAATTTCCAACCATTTCCTAAGCACACGTATCGCTCTTCCTACTGCCAGCAACATTAGTGTTATTACAAAACCATATCCTGTCGCTACCTGTTACATATTAAATTTAGTATATGATTGATGTCTGCGCCAGCATCTAACAAAATTTGATATTCACCCAACGGGAATTTGCTTTGATGTTCTCGGCAACATATACGTAGAAAAGCAACAGGCGGCGTGGCCCCATATATTTTGTAACATCAGCAAACTTGGTGGGACCTTTGTTTCTTTATCAAGAATATTAAATACGTGAAGGCGATATGAAAGCAGACGCCGTTTTTTAAGATTCAATTTTGTCGGTTTATTTGAACATTAAATTGGAAATTTATTCAGAATATAAGAGGGTCACGTCAAAAAAGACACGTTTACGTTCAATATCCTTCGGTTCAATCAACTAAAGGCAGAACATTTAGGACAGTATAAATGTATGCAACGAACGAATATTAAAAAAATAATTTTCATAAACCTTAATTTAAAAATTAGGTACCAAGACCTGACGTCCTAGTGAAGATTTGGCATTTAATCACTTGTATGTCCTGAGCATAAGATATGCTCCAGGCAATACACAGTTTGCGTGTATTTATTTCCCTGGAGACTCTATTCCACAGCTTTGCAGGGGGTTTTATGGATGTGTTTTTGCATTCTCGGAAATAACGATAATTGCTATATTTTTCATGTAAACTAGTAGAAGTTATGTTTATCTGTTTGAAAGCTTGAGAGGTTTTGCTGCTGTCACCTGCTCTCTACAAATGGTATGACGTCACATCATATTATTATATAGGCCGCCAAACATACCGAACAAAATTTTCGCCTGTCTAAGAAAAATACTTTTTTAAATTAAAGTTTGACAGTCTTTTAAGTCTGAAAAAAAGACAATACTATTTTTTTGTCAAATAGAACAAATATAAACTATTTAAAACCTATTTTAAATAAATTTCAACTAGCCTATTGCTGCACATGCTACCATTGCAATATGAATGTCAATGGTTTCAGTAATCCGTATCTTCAAGGAATACCATTCTTCCAACACCGACACGACTACTTTTCTGCTTGAGTGAAGCTGTAAAAGCTTTCCCCTGTCAAAAATACCGCTTTAAAGGATGTAAATGTCAATTCAATATATCAAATTCCCACATCAACCCATATCGCCCCAGCTATTTTGCGACAATACAACGTGGTGCCGATTATTGTTGAATCAGCATTCATGTGAAAAAATTCACTGATTGTATTTTCCCTTCGTCAGTTTGACGAACAGCAGTCCAAATTCGTGTATGCGGCTGATTTTGCGGCGGCGAGCGTTGCGTAAACGTCAGTTGTTTGGGAGACTTGAGGCCTCTGCGCTTGGGGACGCTAATTAAAAAACAAGAGCGACGTGCAAAGAAATTAAACAAGCGGGATATTTTTTGGGACTGGTTGCTATTTCCCTCTGTTCTCTGTATTCTATGGTCGAGATAAACAGGGGGAAAGTGTTGGTGGGTTTGAGTTATGATAACCCAGTAAATATAGATTTCAGCCACAGAAAGAGCCCTTCAACCTGCTCTATTACTGAACTTTTTTATTATATAAAGTGGAGATCACAACTATAGAGCCAGCAACAGCGTGCAGTTTTCTTTCGCCAAGTTCAATGTTATTTTTTATACCGAAAGAGCCGCTCTCATACACATTACGACGTCAATTGTATACTAAGTGACATATAAATCCGAACACCCAGTTTAAATGGTTTTATTTTAATAAAATGTTGTATAAGTACTTAATGAAGCATAATAAGTAAATGATAAAAATTTCAAAATGATTGCACTGCTTCAAAGCCCTTTGACCTTTAATAATGTGTGGATGCACCCTGATAATAATAATAATAATAATAATTAACGTCTTTTATTTGTAATATTCTTACAGGAGGCAAGATTTAGATTATATATCTATTCTACCATCTAACCCCCTTAACAATTCGAGATGTAAAAAAAAAAAAAAGAATTTATTGAAAATTAATAGGCACCTGTATACAATAACGAATAATCCAAGTAAATACATAAAGAAAATATGAGGACACTTATGGGTTACAACCGATTTCGCTGCTGATCAAGAAGAACTTCTTTCACTTTTTTTTGAATTTGGATAATGGATTGGTTTCTTTTAAACTGCGGTCTAAAGAATTATATGATTTGATCGCATTGTAAATGTATGAATTCTGAAATAGAGACGTGCTGTGGCGTGGAATTGAAAAAGTCTCTCTATATCTAATATTAATACGATGCATATTCCCTCTACGTATGAATTTTTTTACTAAATATGACGGTGTTTTTGAATAAAGAACCTTATGAGTCAGATTTAGGAGCTGGTACTTATACATTTTATCAATTTTCATCCATTTGAGTTCATTAATGGCATTCGATATATGATCGTATTTTCTGAGACCATTTACAAGCCTGCAACATGTATTCATAATACTTTGAATACGATTTCTTGTTATAATATCTAAATAGGGATAGTAAACCACTAAGCAATACGATATCTTTGAAAATACGAAATATTCACACAATTGCTTTCTCGCAGATTTATGTAATATAGCCTTATTTGCAAATAAAACTCTGAGAATAGCGTAGCACTGCGTAATTAGATAGTTCACGTGTGCAACAAATTTTAAGCCATCATCCATTATAATACCTAGGTTTTTCGAATGATCCACAGGAATTAATTTATTACCTTTTAAATGTATGTCTATGTCCTTTTTTAAGGTATTCTTTTTTGTTCTATTTGCGTATACCAACATATTTGTCTTCAAAGGGTTCAAACGAAGACTATGACTACTACTGAACTTTTCAATTTGGGCAAGATCTTGATTAATTTTATTATTTACGGTTTCTAAGTCATTACTCCTAAATGAATAGAAAATTTGAGTATCATCTGCAAAAAATTGTATGCTGCATGATTTTACCTCTGTTTCTAAATCTGAGATATATAATGAAAATAATAGTGGTCCTAAGACTGATCCCTGTGGTACACCAGAACAAATTTTTTGTTCCGTAGAGTACTGTTGATTTAGACGAACTTTTTGATACCGATTTTCAAGGTAGGTTTGAATAAACGAAAGAGTTTTTCAGAAAATCCATAGTAACTGCATTTAGATACAAGAAGCGAGTGATTAATGGTGTCAAATGCTTTAGTAAAGTCAAGAAGTATGAGAGCTACTGCTTTTTGGTTATCAAGTGCCATTGTTATATTGTCTGTTAAATCACAGAGTGCCGAAGCTGTATTATGACCTTGTCGAAATCCAGATTGTTTAGATGGAATAATTTTGTTAGAATATAAGTAGGCGCACAGCTGCTCGTAAACAACGCGTTCCAATACTTTAGAGAAAATTGGCAGTAGACTGATCGGTCTCAGTTGACCATAGTTAGTAGGATCAGAACACTTAGGTAGCGGAATAACTATAGCGCGTTTCCACTGATTGGGGAAATATCCCCTCTCTAAACAGCAGTTTATAATATGCGTTAAGTAGACATCAATTTCAGGTATACATAGTAGTATCATATGCAAAGTTATTTCATCTGTACCACTAGAATTTGATTTTATTTTATGTATAATTTTAACAACGGTGTCAATAGTCACTTTATTAAATTGAAATTTGAATTTTGAGTTATTTTTATTATCTCGGTAATATGCAATTTTATCAGCACAAGCCAAATCACTATTCTCGAAAATTGAAATGAATGCCTCATTTATTTTATACGGATCGGACAAGCTCACGGGAATTGCAGAATCTTTCTGAGATTGTACTTTGAAAGTCTTTAGGGTCTTATAAAACTTTTTTATATCCTGATTTTGAACAGCTTGTAAATAATCTCTTTTTCCTCTTCGCACGAGCGTTAATGCACGATTTCTGAAATATGTATACTGTTGCCAAGAGGCGGCTGTACGATCACGTTTGAACTTTGACAAAGCTTCAGCCCTCTGCCTGAATACAAGTTTAATATTATCATCCAACCAAGGAGCTGGAGCTTTGTTTACACGCACTACCTTTTTTGGACAGTGAACATTAAATAAGCATAAAATACTATCTGTTAAAAAGTTAATTTTATCTTCAATGTCATCTATCGATATAATATGCCACCATGGAAAACTCTTGAGATCTTGTTCAAACGCTGTTTCATTTAAACTATGGAAATCCCTGAATGTAACAAATTTCTGTTGATTTTTCTACGCATTCTCCAACGCGCCTAGGCATGCTTCTGATCAGGTGGTCAATGTCCTCCTGTGGTATCTCATTCCAGGCAACCACCAACTCCTCTCGAAGTGCTTCTAGAGTCTGAGGAGGACGTTGCAAATTGAGCAATCTCCTACCCATCATATCCCACACGTGCTCAATTGGGGATAAGTCGGGAGATCTTGGTGGCCATGGTAACAATGTGACATCATTATGTTGAAAGAAGTCTATTGTGAATCTTGCAACATGTGGTCGGGCATTATCTTGTTGGAAAGTTGGATCTGCCAGGGTGTCAAGATAGGGTAAAAGATGGGGTTCTAGAACTTCGTGGATAAAACGCTGCGCGTTCATGTTACCTCTGATGAAGATTAAAGGTGACCTGGAACCATAAGCTATAGCACCCCAAACCATAACTCCAACAGTGTGATGAACATGTCTTTCAACAAAAAACTGTGGATTCCTCCTTTCACCACGTCGCCTTCTAACCCTGGCACGACCATCGTGCATGCCTAAACAAAATCGAGACTCGTCACTAAAGACAATACCGTTCCATTCCTGATCCCAGAGTGACCGTTGTCTGCACCACTCAAGGTGATTACGTCGGTGTTCTCGAGTTAAAGGGAGGACCCAGTGTGGCCGGTATGAAAACAAGCCAAAACTTCTCATTCGTCGGTAAACACTTCGCATATCAATAGGTCTTCCGTGTCCTGCAAACCATTCATTTGCAATGGACCTGGAAGTGGAGAAACGGTCCCTTAAGGCCAATAATCTTAGGCGGCGATCTTCACGGTCTGTTGTTCTACGGCGGCGTCCAGTGACCCTTGCTCTTTGCGTACGGCCTTCTCGAAGCCATGCCTGACAACACCTAACCACAGTGTCTACACTTCTTTGCACTCTAACTGCAATTGCCCGAAAAGAGCTTCCCGAAGTCCCACTATACGGCCCCTATCAAACTCACTAAGTTGACGAAATCGTACAGGTCTCCGTACTCTAGGCATCGTAACCGATCGTAAAGGATGTCAAGAACCAAAATCCGCCAACGTTGATTCTTTACTGCGGCCGAAATATTCATTTTTAGAGCGTTAGTAAATTAAAAAAAAAGCAGTATAAAAACCGGAATGTCCAACTAATAAGGCTGAAAAATTTTTCTCTTGTTATTTACAGTAAGATAAATACATTCACCAACTTTTATTAAAATAAAACCATTTAAACTGGATGCTCGGATTTATATGTCACTTAGTATATATGGGTTTCTCTGAATATGCTTGACAAAGGTCTATAACAATATGTAAATAATTTATCAACACGTCGCACACGGATTACGCTACAGATTAAGCTTCCATCATTTTCTCATTTGCTTTAAAATAGAAACCAATCAGGATCGCGTTACATGAGGCAACGGCTTCGAAGCCCCCGAAGAGCGAAAAAAGGAATGGGAAATGAACATTTTTCATCCAGTTTAATTGTGTGCATTGCGAACATACGTTTGCACAAATCTACTTGTTTGCATGCGATACAGAACTTCTAGTTGCAAAACAATGGAAAATACTGAAGTTTTGTTCAGTTGGAATTCGCGGTTAGAGCAAAAAACGCTCTTGTGGATTTAGCAGTATCGTTGAGATACAATAACAATGCGAACCAGCATTAGTTAAGCTGAGCTGACTTATGCCCTATGCTTGAGATCTGATTGGATTTTAGTTTTTGTCAAATGTATTCCAGAATTGTGATTAAAAGAACAGAAATAATAACTTCAGCTTTGCCATAATTCTGAGTAATACGAGTATTACAGAGACCGCTTCGTATTACCTGATCCTGTAAACGCTGTTATCAACTTGTTGTAATCTAAGCAGGAGAAATTGACAGTGAATCCTTGAATGTAAATAATGGGTGATTTTTTGCTAGTATCTTTTTGGCAACACTGTTTTTGACAGATGACGCGTGAATCGTGTCTTGTGTCATTATCAAACATGTTCAGTTTGGTCTATAATTTAACCATGAATCGACTCACGAACGAACAACGCTTGCAAATTATTGAATTTTACTATCAACATTTATGCTCGGTTAAGAGAGTGCATCGAGCACTGCTTCCAATTTATGGGCAATTTGGTCGGCCTACTGAGGGAGCTATTCGGAAGCTTGTGACTAAATTTCGAACCACGTTTACATTATTGGACATTAAACCACCAACACGCAGACGTAGAGTGAGGACTGAAGAAAATATTGCGGCTGTATCCGCCAGTGTTAGTGATGACCGTGAAATGTCGATTCGCCGCCGTTCGCAGCAATTGGGCCTCTGTTACTCCACTACGTTGAAAATTTTGCGACAGGATTTGGGTGTAAAACCTTATAAGATCCAGCTGGTGCAAGAATTGAAGCCACACGACCTCCCACAACATTTCCAATTTGGTGAATGGGCGCTGGCAAAGTTGGAGGAAGATTCACATTTTTATCGAAAAATTGTGTTCAGCGACGAAGCTTATTTCTGGTTGAATGGGAACGTTAACAAGCAAAATTGCCGCATCTGGAGTGAAGACCAGCCAGAAGCATTGCAAGAGCTACCAATGCATCCCGAAAAAATCACTGTTTGGTGTGGATTATGGGCCGGTGGCATCATCGGGCCGTACTTCTTCAAAGACGACAATGGCCGGAACGTAACTGTGAATGGCGAGCGCTACCGTGCGATGATAACAAACTTTTTTTTGCCCAAAATGAAAGAGCTGGACTTGGCTGACATGCGGTTTCAACAAGACGGTGCAACATGCCACACCGCACACGAAACAATGGCCCTATTGAGAGGCGAGTTCGGTGAACAGTTTATCTCACGATTGGGGGCCGTCAATTGGCCGCCTAGATCGTGTGATTTAACGCCGTTGGACTATTTCTTGTGGGGCCATGTTAAGGCTAATGTCTACAGCGATAAACCAGCAACGATTGACGCACTGGAAGCCAATATTCAAGCATTTATTCGTGAGATACCGGCCGATATGTTGGAGAGAGTGTGCCAAAATTGGACCTTGCGCATGGGCCATCTAAAGCGGAGCCGCGGCCAACATTTACATGAAATAATCTTTAAACATTAAATTATATAGACTCAAATAAAGATTTAATCGTTTTTTCAAATTTTTTGTGTCTTTTTTTGAAAATCAAATCCTATACCTCTTAAAAAATCACCGGTTAGATCGTATGAATCCATGGCCTAAAATAGGTGCGATTCAAAGAATCCTTAGCCTGGCATGCATTGCGTGGAAGAGTCCAATCATACTGAAATCACATTGTTTACTGAAAGCATGTCGTCTAACATCTCATTTATCCAATCTGATAGACTGTTTCGATAAAATCTGGGGCCAATGAATTTTATATTCACTTGTCTAATCCATAAGCTGTCTTCAAATCGGTTTTGAAAGTGATCCTGATTCATGATTCGTAGAATCTTCAGAGTCCAGTGATGTAAATTGTGATTTCTTCTTAGAAGTGCATTTCTGAATTGTTGGAGCGTCCTTCTGCAAAGCTGGACTCTCGGTAGTTTTTTGGAAGAAGTGACCGTACATGTTGAATATGGAACGTTGCAGCAACTCCCTTCGTAGAAACTGATGCTTAGCTACACCAACATTCTGTCAAATATGGCGCATACTCATCTTCAAAGAACTGACGTACTCCGTTTTCAGCCTCTACGTCAATTCTCGGCCTTCCTGTTCTTTCTTATCTCCCAGGTCTGTATCTGTACCATAGCCTGGAAAATTTACTCTACAACATATTTACTATTGACGATGTGGCTTTCTCTTTTAATCTTATTAATAACGATCTGGACTTACTTTACAATATCTCAGCAGCTCATAGCTTGACACTAAATGCTAATAAATCTAAAATAATGTTTTTTGGGTCAAGAAGCAAGCGTAATATAGCAGAAAATCTTTGTAAATTAGCAATTAATAGAATTCCATTATCAATTGCAATCATTAGCAAAAGTTTGAGGGACAGTGAACTAAAATTTGATTCTGATATTAAAGAATTCTGTTCAAAATCATATATAATGGTATTCTCAAACAAACATATCCTCAAAGAGATATATTAAACAATAAAGTGAAAATGCTATTGTGTTATAGCTATAATAAAGAAAAAAATGATAAAGACAATTTACAACGGCTATAAAATTCTTGTTACCGTTTTGTTCTAGGTATACGGAAATTTGATCACATAAGCCATGTGTACAAAAAGAATTGTAAAATGAACATGAAGAATCTCAGAAAATACTAAAGTTTATGTTTCGTTCATAAAATTTTAGTGAATAAGAAACCGGAATATCTTTTGAATAAGCTCAACAAATTTACAAAGATCAATAACTTGGTGACCAGAAATTGACAATTATTAATTATACTCGTACCTAAGCACTGTCCGCCTCTCCACAAAAAAAGGCTTCTCTTTCACTGCTGCCAAGTTATACAATAATCTTCCATATGCATTTCGAAATTATACTCTGAATAATTTCAAAAAGAAGCTGAATGCCGTGGTTACTCAGCGGTACATAATCACTCCCTCACCACTCTGCCACCCAATCTACCTTCAAAGTTTTGAAATAAATGGGTCACAAACTATATCTTTATCTAGTTTCACAAAAAAATACATATAAATCTATAGTAATCGGTCACTTTATTATTCATTTTTGGGCCATTCGAAAAGGTCAGTTTCATATTAGGATGTACGGTTAAGTTGAAAACAACAATCAATGGTAAATTTTCTGGTTTAGGTGCTCTTTAACTTCCCATAACCAAAAAAATGTTCAGGGAATGTCGAATTCTGATGTCTCTCTCTCTCGCTCTCTTTCTCTCTCCCTCTCGCTCTCTCCCTCTCCCTATCTCTCTCCCTATCCCTCTCCCTCTCCCTCTGTTAGTGCTTGGTAAAATATAACTCTTTATATTTTACCAAATTTAGTACTTTTATCTACCAAATATGTCAATATTTTATTATTGACAACCTAAACCTAAACAATCTCATTGGTATTCCACCACTACGTGTACGATTTTTTAAATCATATTTTACTGTATTTCTGCTCAGCATGTGCTGCTCATCAGAGATTCTGTATGCGATTTTCCAGCTTTCTTAAAAAGGGAATGTGGAAGGAAAAGTCACGTATAAAGCTAAGTGTAAAAATAAGATGTAGTTTGATACCTGGGAGAATTCCTAGAAGTGGCTGTCATAACAATTCACTATCCAGAGGAAAATAAGCAAGAGTAGTTGGTATGTAGTTTTTCCACATAACAAAAGCGAAATCGAAAATGTAAATTAACTATTGAATTTAATAGTCAATGCTGATAACAAAGAATATCTATAGTAGGTATCAATAGATGAAAGTATGAAAGACATTCATGAACTGGACCAAGTTTCTAAGAAAAACTGCTTTTAACACGCTTTTATTAGCTATGCCTATATGTATGTAAGTATTATGTATACAGGGTGACTTTGAAGTTGAGTCATTAATTTTCAGATAATGATTGTAGAAGGAAGATAAACCAAAATATGTGTGTAAAAATAAAAAAAAAAATTAAAAAAAAAATTTTACCTTGTTTTATAAAGTATCCTCCCGACAAGTATTTCAGTGCGGACCTGTATTTGATCGTGAGGTCTTGGAGCACCGGCATGCCGTCCATATGTGAGGTCTTAAGTCAAATGATTCACAAACCCGTTGTACTACATTAACAAAGGCACGAGGGGTTGGTTGCACTCGATTGGGAAACCAATCCGCATAAACATGTGCCATTTTTTATTTCGTTTGAGCCACGCAACACACACCACTATTCACTACCGACTGACACTGACTGTATACAACTGAATGAAATAATTGTAAAAACATCGTTCCAAATTCTTTCGCTTTTTTGTTTCCGATGCGATGAACCGATAAGGCGGATTATATCCGTTGTCGCCAAACACGAGCACATAATATTATTATTGAGACAGGGCGGTACTCAAACTTCCAAAGGGCTATAACTTTGTTACTTAAAAATGGTAAAGGAAAAAAACATTTCTTTTGATCAGATCTACTCACTGTTAAAATAAATGACTCAACTTCGAAGTATATGTATAAAAACATACGTTATGTCACAAAAAACCTACAAAATGTCAAAAAAAAAACAGATGTCACCTTTCAAGGTACGTAATACCCGTGCAGATCCAATTTAGCTGAATAATAATAATAATGGGCGTCTTTATTTACTACAAATAGGTACTGGTATTGCTCATGGAGAAGCTATTTAGCGGAGCTTAGCGCAAGCTACTCTTATACTCAATCAAATAGTGTTGCAGCTGATTGCAGTAGTCTCTATACAGGATGTTTCAGAAAGACGCGTCGATATTTCCAACATCAAAAAACAACAAAAGAAGCTTTTATATATGTGTGGGTCCAAGGATGCTTCTCTACCGACATTAGATGTGATGAAGTTTTATTTGCGAAACTGAATTAAGATTTCGGACGTTCAGTGAGCACATCATAGTCAATAAACAGACAGAGTTTTCCGGCCCAAACTGAACCAAGGACGTAGAAACTGGGGTACCTGGACACCTAATATGCAATATTATCTACGCCACTGGTCTTTTTGGAGAAAAAAAATGTACATTTTATCAAATATCATACAACTGTCCATAAATTTTGTCTCCTTAGGACTTTTTGTCAGGTCACTCGTTTTGGAGATATTTGGGTTTGAATGTTTGTGGTAAAATCGTAAAATATTCTTATAAAAAGGTTTAGCCTCATCTATGCTGAAAACACCGTGAAGCTTGATATTGAAAACACTATATTAACATTAATTGAATAATATGAGTGACTTATCCTCAATCATTAAACCTTTCCTATGCATGCCACTGGTTTTGCCGGCATATTCATTTTAGGATTTTAACTAAAATATTCAAACCTAAATATCTCCAAAACGAGTTATCTAACAAAAATTCTTTAAGAGACATAATTTATGGAAAGTTGTATGGTATTTCATAAAATGCTTTTTTCTCCAAAAAGGCCACTGGCGTAGGAAATATTTCCTATTAGGGGTCCAGGTAACCCAGTTTCTACGACCCTAGTTTAGTTTGGGCCTGGAAACTGTGTGTTTATTGCTGATGATCTTACATGCACGTTTTATACCTTTCATGACTTGAGTAAATTGACAGTCATTTTGCATGTTTGGAAAATTTGCTTTTCTTTTAGTGGACACGTTCCGTGGCTAAAACTGCTATTCAGAAAGCTAATACACATAGTAATTAGCGATACATTTACAAGAAGATTATTATTTAACCATAAGGATGAACTGAAATCTAGTGGAAAAAGTAATATATGATCTTGTGTAGGACCAGATTACGATAATAATAATAATAATAATAGTAATAATAATAAACGTCTTTTTATTTGGGCGAAGTTTAGCTTAAGCTATTCCTCCACTTAACGTATACAAAAATAAGTACAAACATGAATAAAATAGATAAATGACAAAAAGACATAATATAACAAAAGTATTATACATATTTAGTATGATTACTCTTAACTGAATAAATACTATTTTTGTAAGCAGAAGTGAGATTGTGTATTTTCAATTTTTGCACTGTAAAAGCAGGTTCTTGATATGTCTTTTAAAGTTATCAAATGTTAAAGATTTAATGTCAGGGGGTAATGAATTATATAGGTAGATCGCATTAAAGGTGAAGCCCTTATGGAAAAATGAAGTTCTGCGGATAGACATGGGAAGCGAATATCTCTAGAATGAACACACATACAATTTAGTAGTTTTTCATTCAAAAACGGAGATAATGAGGTAATTTGGAGTTTATGAACATAACATAGTAAGTGATATTTATATAATTTTGTAATATTCGTTGGTCGTACTTTTTCAAGTTTTCTACTAATCTACAACAAAAATTTTGAATTTTTATTGTTTTATAGATACTGAATCTAAAAATGAATGGTAAACAATATCACAATATGTAATTTTTGAAAAGATCAAAGATTCTTAGTTTTGTAGTCTAAAACTTGTTTATTGAGTTATGATTGGCGAAGTACTGAAAAACGACTTTTAGTCATATGATTCACGTGTGGAATGAAATTTAGACAGTTGTCAAGAAAAATACCTAAGTTTTTAAATAATCCATGTACTTGAATAATTTCGCCATCCAGAGATATATTTTCTTAAATTTTTGTGAGAAAATATGATAACTTTTGATTTTGTAGGATTTAAGCGGAGGTTATGACTTTTCGCGTAATTATCAATAGCCTGTGAATCCTCATTTACTTGAAATTCTGCAACTATAAGTCAGTATTGAAATTGTTGTATATTGAGAATCATCGGTAAAGAATTGTATATTGCAATATTTCACCACTTTGTCCAGATCAGCTATGTAAAGAATAAAAATGAGTGGCCCAAACACTATTCCTTGGGGCACTCCCGAGGATATTGACGTTTCTGGTGATGATACCAATTGAAGGGTCAAGAAAACCGTAATATTTAAATTTAGCTAATACAATTGAATGATTTATCGTGTCAAATGCTTTGGTATAATCTAAGAGAATCAAATTTAATATAATATATATATAAGCTGCTTGCTATAAGCCTGACATACACGACGGATTTTAATCCACTATCAATTTTAATATAACGAATCCATCCATAAACAATTCAGAAACGCCTGAGGAACTCAGCACAAAATCTTGCATTTCGATTATTTCCATTTAAATCCAAGCTTGATCAAAGCTCCCAATCTGGGTTTTGTGCTCTCGAAAGCGCTGCGATTAAAAATTGAAGAGACCCGTTCCTACGAACAATTCTGAATGGCGGCGCTGCGTTATTGCCAGTTCCAATTTTAAATTGAAAC